ACTTATATTATGAATAAAATAATTAGATAAAATGTGTGTTTGATTTTAGTATCTGTAGGCACATATTCCTAATGCAAACTCCTGCAATTTAGCCTAATTAAATGTACCCTCAAAAGAAGAGGCATTTTGGAAAATCCATATGGTAACAATTGGCATGTCACGATTAGTTGTTATTTCATTTTCGTTCATAAAGCCTTCTTTACTTTATTTGAGTGATTGGGCATAGGGGCCCCATGGGATGTCAATTGCTTCAGCGTTCACCTCTGAAATAGCAGGTCCAATAAAACAAATGAAATACTCACTTTTTGCAAAGATGTTTAGATATGCTCCAAGCCCCACTGCACAAACTTTACTGTATGTAGTATGTTTGATGTTGTGAATGTGCATAGGCTATATTTACTCTGTTGGACCTACAAATACAAATACAAATGGATGAGCTGGGTCATCACATCTCTGATCAACTGAAGTTCCTTCTGGAAAAATGAAGTATACTGAACAAAAATATAAACGCAACATGCAACAATTTCAAAGATTTTACTGACTTACAGTTCATATAAGGAAATCAGTCAAATTAAATGAATTCATTAGGCCCTAATCTATGGATTTCACATGACTGGGCAGGGGTGCAGCCATGGGTGGGCCTTGCATTGGAGGCTCCTCAGAGGAGGAAGGGGAGGACCATCCTCCTCAGTGAATTTCATAAAAATATAAATAATTGAAACATTAAAAAAGTTATACATTTTAGATAAAACGATACTATATATAATCACATGTCACCAAATAATTGATTAAAACACACTGTTTTGCAATGAAGGTCTACAGTAGCCTCAACAGCACTCTTTATGGTTGCACCATTGTGTAGCCGGAGGACAGCTAGCTTCGTCCTCCTCTGGGTACATTAACTTCAATACAAAACCTAGGAGGCTCATGGTTCTCACCCCCTTCCATAGACTTACACAGTAATTATGACATCTTCCAGAGGACGTCCTCCAGCCTATCAGAGCTCTTGCAGCATGAACTGACATGTTGTCCACCCAATCAAAGGATCAGAGAATGACTCTTGTACTGAACATAAGCTACAGCTAGCTAGCACTGCAGTGTGTAAAATGTGGTGAGTAGTTGACTCAAAATGAGAGAAAGACAATAGTTGAACAGTTTTGAACAAATTCATTTCTTCCAAATTGAAGGAGAAGCAAGAGAGAAATAGAGAGAGAGATTAAAAATAAATAAATCACTTTCAATTTCACTTACTTAGCTAGCAAACGCAGCTAGCTAATTTAGCCTACTGAAACACCCTGCTCAAACAGAGGGATACTATGTTAGCTAGCTGGCTTTCCAACACAACACTGGAACTCTTCCAAGTCAAGGTAAGCTTTTGGTATTACTAATTTATTGCCACCGGGGCCCACCGGTGTAACTGCCTACTGACTGTAACTTTACTGCATGATTGTAGTGGGTTTACTAAAGTGTTTAGTTCTATTAGCAATGCTGACTATGACAGTACTTTAGCTAATATGGTGCCAAAGATGTAGGCTGTGTGTAGCGGTTTGGCTTGGAAAGTTTTTTTTTTGCTTGGTCACATACAGCTGATGTGTTGTGCATTGAAGTCCACAAGAAAAGGAAAGAGGTGAGAGGAGAGCACATAGATGCAAGAAGGAATACAACGTGGCTGCTATGAAAGTGAACTGTGTTTACGCGTGATCAGGGGTGTATTCATTCCGCCGATTCTGTTGAAAAACGTTTCTTAAACGGAAGCAAACGGAACAAAACGGGGATAAACATACCTGAATTTGTCCAATAGAAACTCTTGTTTGCAACTGTTGGACTAATGATTACACCCTATATCAGCTAGATGAAGGCAAGAGTGTGCAAGGCGGTATTGAATGTCACTGTCTGTCCATGTGTCACTGTCTGTCCATGTGTCAAATTTGTCTCTCGACCTGTGTGCACCTATGTTGTAAACTTTCATTCATAGGCTAGGTTGTAGCAACCTCATGATGGGTATAGGGAAAATGTGAGTATCATTTAGTAGCCTAAACCTATTGCTGTTACATTGAACTGGGTGAATGGAATATGAATGACAGTCATCCAATATGCTGTAATAGAAATAAGGCCACGCTAATGGGAAAAAAATCATCCTCCCTCATCTTAAACGGCACTGACCTCCACTGCTTGGAGGGCATAGGCCCACTCACTTGGCAGCCAGGCCAACCTACTGGGGAGCCAGGCCCAGCCAATCAGAATGAGTTTTTCCCAACAAAACGGCTTTATTACAGACACAAATACTCATTTTTTGTACATATGGAAAATGTCTGGGATCTTTTATTTCAGCTCATGAAACATGGGACCAACACTTTACATGTTGCGTCTATATTTTTGTTCACTGTAATTATTTTCTATTCTATTGGCCTACCTCACTTAATTTAAAGCATGGCGTCATGTGATTTATCTTCCAATTCAAATGCTATTCATTGCGGGAAGAGCATTTAGAACATTGATAAATTACCTGTAATTCTTGGAATGATCAAATGGCTATGCTGCTGCCATAGAATTAGGGATTAGGATACAAATTAAACTAGTAGTTTAATGGGATCTCTATGGCTGCTACCCTGCCTTACCTAGCATAGTCATAATGTGTTTATTTACGTAGAGTTACTTACTATTATATCATATCCAAAATAATTCAATGGATTTCTTAGTCTTCTTTCTTCATTTACATTTACATTTTAGTAATTTAGCAGACGCTCTTATCCAGAGTGACTTACAGTTAGTGAGTGCATCCATTTTTTCTTCTTCCTCTGTTATCTCCACTGGTAGCCATATACACATCATTCTTGTGTTGCATTACCTTATATATTGTCACTTTAATAATGTTTACATACTGCTTTACTCATCTCATATGTATATACTGTATTCTATTCTACTGTATTTTAGTCAATGCCACTCCGACATTGCTCGTCCTAATATTTATATATTTCTTAATTCCATTATTTTACTTTTAGATTTGTGTGTATTGTTGTGAATTGTTAGATACTACTGAACTGTTGGAGCTAGGAACACAAGCATTTTGCTACACCTGCAATAACATCTGCTAAATATGTGTATGTGACCAATAACATTTGATTTGATTTATAGGACTTGCAGTTACTAAAACGAGAAACAGGAAAAAGTATTTGCACACTTCCATTCAGATTTTTGTGACTGAGCTAGGTCAGTCGACCTCCATCAGAGCCTCTGATGAAGGTCGGCTGACAGAAAGCTCAGCCACAATTAAAGAAAATCGCATCTGACTAGAAGTGTGCAGATACTTTTTCCGGTTTCTCCAGTTTTGCCCTTTGCCTCCAGCACCTTCTTCACTAATCAGCTCTGGGTGTGCTGTAGATTCTGCCTATCATATTACAAGAGAAGAATGTTCCGTGAAAAAAAATGGTATACAGGAAATCCAAATAAATGGGATAATGATTTTATTCATGTCAAGAAATACATTTCTTCACAGTCACCTCCCATTAACTACTGAAGCACAGACCGATACGTCTAAAGTGTTGAGGAATATTAATGGTTGAATTAAAATATAACAATATGCTTTATAATACAAAATACCCTGCATTTCACTGTCAAGTTTAATCAAATTATATACTACAGCTTTTGAAACATTACACTGTACTTTGATGAATGACCTAATGCCACTAGAGGGCAAGTTTTAGTCAATAACATTTCATTTTGAGATTCAGCCTATTGCTACAGCATTTTGATAGATCAAAATATATTTTCAGCCTCTTTGTTATGGAACTATACACACAATAAATGTATTGTGTCTGAAATGGTATTCCTTGGCTTAATGTTTTTGAATAGCTCAATATATTTTAATAAACAAACTGATTTGTGATTAATATGTGTCATATTCATAATCAATCAATCAATCAATCAATCAATCAATCAATCAATACATAAACAAATAAACACATAAATAACATTTTTAGATGTTTCATCAGGTTAAAAATAAGCAGTTTCCTACATCTAATGCAAAACCATGTAATGTGTCTAAATATTGTGTTTAATCTATGAGTTAAAAAGCAGTATTTCCTGGAGACATTTTCCAGATATGCTCAAGCTGTCGAATCTTGGTTGAGATATTTTGGTACAGGGGAGATATTTGGATGAGCATAGTCCAACAACTAAGTGCATTGTATTTTGAGTAAATATTCCATCTTAAATAAGTTCACTTGTACTGTATGGCATGGTTTAAAAAACAGTCAAAAAACAGTCCACAAAATATAGTGCAAACTCATGCAATAACTGGCCATTGTGTGCAACCTTACATTGCTATATTCTAGAAATCTATTTTTAATAGAACATAAATAAATAACGTGTATGTGGTAATTAACCACCATAATAGACAGTAGATAGCACTAAATGTTGCATTGTGTTTGAAGGAAAACGCTTGGTGTCATTACCACTTAACTGTCCATGCAGTGAATCTCAATAAAGGTTAAACTCTGCATGACTTCATCATGATCTAGGTCTGGTAATGAACAAGTCAAAGAACATGAGGGTAGTATTAATTTATCCTGCATAGGTTTACTATAATGCAAATTTTTCGATTATAAAATGTGAGAAAATAAATATATATGGAACAAGTTAGCAAACAAATAAATAAACATACATTCAAATGCTGTTTTTTTCTTCATGTGCAGGCTAACAGTAACAAATGCACAATAAATGCAATGCCAGACAAGAATGGCTGGCATTGCATTTATTTCCTTACTGTATGTTCATGGGCTGTTAAAGGTAGACTCAGTGAAATTACGTTGCCACGAGCTGCACTGCAGATATGAGCGAGATGCAAGACTTCGCTCTCATACAGTCACACACAGTATCTGCGCATGTGCACGATTTTGTTTCACGCTGTTCAGTGTGGTAGCCAGGGCACCAAAGCAGCGGAGAAGTTCAGCCTCGCGCTTCAACGCTCTTAGTTGTTATGGAAATTGACCCACTATGCCGTTTACTTTCTGCATCTACGTCATATCGCTGAGTCTACCTTTAAAGCTATGAAATGTGGTCAGTTTTGGTAGGAGTAACCATCTAAAGAAGAAAGAACAACAGGATATGACCTCAAGTAGAATAAACATTTTTGTTGTCAGCTTTACACCTGTATATTTCAAAGTGAAAGGAGAGAAGGGGTACTTGACTAAATACTCAGAGCACAGGAAAAACATGCAGGTAGACATGCAAGAAATCCTAAGCAGTGATTTGGAATTAGTAAGCAGCAGTGAACAGGTCTTGACCTAAGTGCTCTGGCAGAAATGTAGTATGGTTTCGTTTCATATTTAGTTAAATATAATCTAGAAAGTGAATTATATAAACAATAAAATATATTACATGCTTGATGTTACAGTGTACTTCTGTGGAGGTGTGTTTGGCCATGGACACTTCAAACCTGGCCCACTCGGCATATTTCTTTATGTAACATAACTGCGTTACAATAGGATCATTATTCAACAGGACAACTAAGTGTGCTTGAGCTAGAGATCTGCAGTCTAAAAATACCTTATCTTTCACAATGACATCTTACTCTTAAATCTTAAGATTGAGCAGTAACTAAGATTACATACAGTACAGTACATAAACGTCTTTAAATGTCTCTTTTACATCTACGCACTTTGACCTTTATTACCACATGTATGTCTTTGAGGTGTCTATCTGAGAGTTCTGGGGATCCACTGGACCCTCTTTCTCCTTCTCAGTCTCATTCTCCCACAGGTTGATCAGGGGAGGGTAGAGCTCGTTCAGGGGGATGGAGGTGGCATGCTGCACGTATTTCTTCAGGGAGTGGTGGCAGGATTTCTGCTTCATACGCCGGCCCATGTAGAACACCAGCAGGGCCATGATGCAGATGGCAAACATGGAGCCCATGACAGCTGCAAGGGCCACATTGGTGGGCTGGGCCACCATCTCCACAGCAAAACTGGCCTCCTTGGTGGTGACGTTGATGCAGGAGTGTTGCGTCTGCTGTTCTGTGGCTGACATGGTCAGACACACTCTGTATTCTGTCGAGGGCAACAGGTGAGTCAGGTTGTATTCTTGCACATCAACCGGAACCTTCGCTGTATAGCTGATCTGAGGGTTGTCAATCTTCATGGTGGCGCTGGCCCACTTGGGCTGAGACGCCTCATGGCTGTGGAAGTGAGGAGGGTAGAGTCTCCACTCCAGAACCACTGACTGGGAGTGGATGATCTTAGCCAGGACCACCAGGGACCCTGTGGTGTTTACTGTGTGCCCCCCTACATTCAGCCTGCCACCGCGCCAGTCTCCTTTCTCCACATACACTGACACACTACGCGTGTCCGCCCCCTCTGTGTTCCACGCCACGCACGTGTACAGACCAGAATCAGCCGGCTCCACCTGGAGGATCTCCAGAGACCCCTGTTCCTGCAGTCTGTGTTTCTTTGTGCTCCTGCCGTCTACCATGACTGCAGAGACAGCCTCAGAGGTCACCTTGTCTCCTGTTGGCGTCACCCAGTAGAACTGAGGTGCAGGGTCAGCAACAGCCCAACAGTCTAGAGTCAGGGGTTGTCCAGCAGTGACATTGAGCAGAGGGGGGAACGTGTGCATGGAGATGTGAGGGAGGCAGGTGTTGCTGACAACATTCCAGCTGGTGGTGACCACTTCCTGGAGGGCGTGGCCAACCAGATGGGGAGGGGAGGCACAGAGGGTGATCTGGGACTCCAGCAGCTTGAGGGTGGACTGGTTCCCCAGGACTGGGCCCCAGTTAGAGAGGCAGTCACACCTGAGGGGGTTACTGTGGAGGCTCACTTCATCCAGGCTGGGGAAAGAGGATAAAACCTCATGTGACAAGAGGCTGATGTCGTTGTTGTGGACTAATAGAGTGCGCAGGCCGCCCATGTCAATGAAAGCAGCACGATCAATATAAGCTAAATGGGGGTTGTTATACATTTCCAGTTTTGCCATCTCTGGGAGGTTGGAGAACGCCCCCCTCTCAATGGCAACCAGTCCCTCCATGTTGTTCAGACTCAGCTCCTCCAGATGGGGGAAATCATGGAAGTCTCCCTCCTGAACACGGCCAATGGGATTCTTGTTAAGGTCTAAGAACTTGAGATTTGGTAAGACCCGGAGGGCATCTTTGGGGACTGCTGTCAGCTTGTTGTCAAAGAAGGACAGACTCTCCAGGTATTCCAACCCCTGGAAGGCTCCCGAGGGGACCTCCCTGAGGCCCATGCCAGCCAGCACCAGACTGTGCAGCTTTGACAAGGGGTGGAAGTTCATATCCTGTAACCCCAGGATGGGGTTCTCCCCTATCATGAGGATCTCCAGGTTAGGGAGAGACTCAAACCAGTGGCTGTCTATGGCCACCAGCTTGTTGGAGTTGAGATGGAGCCTCAGGAGGTTTCTGAGACCAGAGAAGGCTTTAGGCCCAATGGAGGAGATTTGGTTGTGGTTGATGTAAAGCTCTTCCAAACTGTCAAGATCCTTCAGACATAAATCTTGTAGTTCTTTCACTTGGTTTTCCTCAAGGTAGAGAGTGACAAGCTGGGTCAGGTTGTGCAGTCCAATGTCTTGGATCTGTGTGAAGTGGTTTTGGGAGAGGTCCAGCTCTGTGAGGTTGACTAGACTCTGGAGCTCCACAGACACAGAGGATATGTTGTTACTCTGGAGGAGAAGCACCTGAGTGTCACCTGAAATATTCCACGGGACCCCACTAAGATGGAGCTCATTGCAGTCCACCGTCTTGGCCTGATGGTATACTGATTGAGGCGTGTACCATGGACGCGTTTCACAGACACACTGCGCTGGGCAGAGAGAACCAGCTTCTGAACTTTGACATGAGATCATCATCAGAAAGACAGTCATCAGCCGAGCACAGATCCCAGATCCTCCCATGTTGCAGTAGAATGAGGTAACCCTGTTAACCCTGGGGCAGGTTAAACTGTGACGTCTTCTGCTACGACGATGGAGTTTTGGTCTAGTGCTGCAAGAAAAAATTATAAAACACAATGTAAAAAATATTGCATGACAATAATGCATTTCACATGGTAAATATGTTCAACAATCATTCATTTGTAAGTTATAATTTATTTAAGGTAAAGATACATCTATCAGGTATTTGTTTATTTTTTACACCACACCTGCAAATAAATCATAAAAACAATACAATTTAATGAGGCAGCCCACTTTAACAGGTGATGAATAGTTATCTCTCTTTAACATTCATGTTAATTGTAGAACACGTTGTGGAAAACAAGGTCTCCTTAAAACTGTGATGTAGTGTTACTCCAGGGGGCCACAACAATAAGGAATAAAAGCCTACGTGAAGACTGGGGCAGTATGAATGATTCAGAGCTCTTGTTACCACGGTAAATCACCCTGACCCAGCAGGAAAAAATATTGTCAAACCAAAGGCATTAAGGTGTCCATCACCCTATGAAGCCCATGGTAAATTCAACTGAACCTCCACATGGCACAGCAGACATTGGGGCTGTTTTCTTTTGTGTGACACGAAATCTATCTTCTAACCCCGAGGAAACTAAATGTATAAATCAATACTGTAGCTGTGCATATCCTTTTTGAATATAGCTTTTTTTAAATAATGTAATATGTTTGTGACGATCATTTACATGTTACAATACATCTTGGATCAGTTTATGTGTGGCGTTGAGACGTGTGCCTCCATGTCTCTCTCCACTGACAAAGTTTCTGTGGGTTGTGTGGCAGGCAGGTGGCAGGTAATAGGTGTTGTTACACAATGAATCAGTGGGTTGAAGAACATTTACTGCTCAGGAAGCTAAATAATGTTGTTCCCTGCTGCCTCCGCGCTGGTCAGAAACAACACCAACATGAAAGGGAAACCTGAAACTTGACAAAAGTGAAATGTGGAAAACTGGCACCTAATTCTATGTTCCAGACTTTCATTCCACTGCTTGTTTTCAATACCTCAGTATCGTACTAATGGAACTGAAGCCTCCCTAGCATACCTGCCATATTAAAGTTAATATTGCTATCCAATAAAGCTTATTTGAAAACTACCACTCAGTGTCAATAGGGGAATGTCAACACACACCGATTTCTCCAACTATTAGAATGACTCTGTTTACCAATGACCTCACTGTAAAGAGGCTTTTAAGTTTGGCAGAGTGCCATTGTACAGCCTTAAGATGACAAGCATCAAGCTCCAGTGATGCAATGTCAGGAAATTGCTTCTTCTCCGCTCAACCATCTTGATGTTTCTTCTCCGCTCAACCATCTTGATGTTTCTTCTCCGCTCAAACATCTTGATGTTTCTTCTCCGCTCAACCATCTTGATGTTTCTTCTCTGCTCAACCATCTTGATGTTTCTTCTCTGCTCAACCATCTTGATGTTTCTTCTCTGCTCAACCATCTTGATGTTTTAAGAGATAAATAGTTCTAAAATGTGAGTGATGCACAGGTAGACTTGGGTATTTTTGTATTTAGGTCAGACGCCTTTCCTCAAATGTAACTTATTCATCAGCACAAAACATTAGTATCTTATTCAACCCCAGTAACATGTGGACTACCGTAGCCTACATCCAATGTATTAACTATGCGTATTAAAATTATAGCTGTCAAGAGGTTGATTGTCAACCCACTCCAAATCTGTCGTGTTTCTCCACAAACCTCCATAGACACAGATCTTATGCTGTCAGTGGCTTACACCAAAGAGACAGCAAACCCACAGTCTCATTCAATTATTCACTAAAGTACAGTGTGGGGAGGAAAAGAAGTGGGTAACAAATGAAATCAACGTCCTCAAAAAAACACAGTGTGAGTATTCCATGGAGCTCCCAAGACATATTCTCTTGCTCAGCCTTTGGAAACGTTCGCATGACAAAGCCTTGTTTGAAATCTTCTGAACAAGACGGTACATTGACACACTAGAGTTACACCAATAGCACCAGAATGAAAAGACACGAAAATGAAAACAAGATGGGAATAATTACCCGGCTCCTTTCAAGCGCTGCACACAAATTGACTCCCTTGAGAGTTGCATCAGAGAGAGCTAAGCCGCAGAGGGGCAGAGCTGAGCACGGTTAGTGGCTTTAAAATATATCTGATGGAGGAGGCTACAGTGGAGGCAAACTCCAGTCCTAATGTTACATTGGGAGATGTTTCAGAGTGGTATCCACTGAGCTGGCTGCGCTCAGCGATGGGCTGGGGCCCCTGTCTGGCTGGGAAGTGTGACAGTCTCCACCACGCCTGTCTGATCACATTAGAGAATAGGGGGCACACTTAGGACGTAACCCCCACAGGGCCTCTGGGCGGCAAGAAACGGGGCCACCTTGCCTGATACCATGGCAACCTGACAGGAAGTAGCAAAGGGACCAACCCTTGGGCTGCTCTTAATGGCTGGTGCTCCGGGGCTGTTCCTTATCTCTACAACCTCAATGGGCTCTAACGGTGGAACACTGGAACGTGCAAATGGAGGACAGGATAGACACATAGGTGAAAGATCAGTGGGTGTAACTAAAATATAAAAATGTAGGTATATACAAAATAGTGTTGGTGAGAATGCTTATACAGCAGGATGTACTGTAGGAGGGATGGATTAATCAGCTGAGTGAACACAACAACCAGACTTAAATCTCTATCTGGATCATAGGGCACATTCAGCAGTCAGTACTCTGACACCAGCATCACAGCACATTTTCCTTCACTTCCATTTTGATATCACTACCCAGGCAGACATACCTCGCCCCATTATCAACCCCTCTAGCCAACACTATGTGACCATGTTTAAAGAATCCAACTACAATGGATCCTTTGTCAACAGGATGCTCGGTCCCCATCATTCTCCAATCCTTTGTCACTCAGACATTACTTCTGCCTCCTCTCCTGACCGTGAGTGATGTGTCTGTCCAATCCAGACAGTGTATTAATAAATTGTCAAAAAGTCTAGTGTTATTTTTAGGCTGTCAACTGTGATCCTAGACCTAAGGGCATCAGATGCTTGCCGCTGTCTCGTTTTGATTGACGCGGGACTTTTAAATGACAACCTCACAAAACAACAACAGATTAACCACTAATCACTATGTATTACCTCTCAATCCAACCTTTTGCTTCACAGGTGTAATTTCATATTTTGACTGAACCGGTTTCATTGCCTGTTTAAACAAAGCACTGGTAACCATGTAAGCTAATGTAATAGGAAGACAACAACACCCTATTGTTAATCAATAACAGTCCTCCTCATGAATAGACAACTTGCACCAGACCTAACATTATGCATTTTACGGAATGCAGGGAACTAAGGTCTGTTATTGTTTTTCTGAATGCTACAATGAACAACCTTGTTTAGGTACTCTCATGTTGAAATGAGGGATAATAACTAAGTATCTGAAAAGCCCTTCCTGGCATTAGAAACACAACCCTCAGACAGATGTTAGACTCCACGCTTCCCCTTAATACAAAGTTGAGCCACTCAAGGCCATGACCAGGCAGGGTGCTTTGCATGGCTCACATTTTAATTTAAGAGAGATTACCGCGGCAGATGTTCACACTGCTATTGTGAAGTTGAGCTACTACTTCATTACTTTCAGGCAGGGGAGAGTTGTTTTGTTCGTTAAATCAACCCAACATACACTAGCTTTGCTTTCACATGACAGTTATTGGTTAAACAGCCTGTGCTTTATGAAAGATCAATTGCAAAAAAATACAGTATACAAATAAACATAATATTGCTGTTGCCCACCACTAAATCACTTCAAAATGTAAAATGGCTGTGGCAGTGCCAAGAAATGTGTGACAATGTATCTTACAGTATTGGTCATCTACCTTGCAATTCAGAAGCCGTATGTATGATGATTTTACAACCAGGGCCAGTTCTAATTATACCCTCTCTTGTGATCTCTTCTTCTAAAACATGTTCTTTCCCCTAATCCTGAATGTTATACAACATCTCTGCACATTTGCAAATGTATTGAAGATGATAAAAAATGTATGTCTGCTTTATGAATTATTGATAGGGCTGCAGGCATGTCTCTAATTTCCAGCCTTGCCTTTTTGCATTGAGCAAAAAGGAAACAACGTTGTTTCAACCAGTGTGTGCCCAGTGGGATGTCTCATTTCATGATAATGAAATTAATTGCACAGGTTTTTATAATAATTTCATCATAATTTTATTTCAGCTCAGCCAGACTGAATCAACACTGGAAAAATAAATATGTTAATTTCTGCAATGCTTTCTGTGAAAATGACTTTGGCACTATGTAATTCAAAGCAGCGTGAAAATTATATCTGCCCCTTTTAATATCTAACACATGGTCATTGCAGTTGGTGTTTGGAACACGTGCACATGCCAAAGGAAATGCAGAAAATGAGTCTCTGAAAAGAACCACTGGTGTAAGCAGTTTTCCAAAATGCTTGAAATTCTAATTCTTAACCGTTTCTTGCACTCTTCATGCAAATGCACAGTAACGAATGGATCTTCAAGGGATAACTTTTATTTAAGTATTAAGATTATGAACAATCAAAGAACTGTAACATCTTTAAAATATGACTTCATGCCATCCAGGACCTCTATACCAGGCGGTGTCAGAGGAAGGCCCTAAAAATTGTCAAAGACTCCAGCCACCCTAGTCATAGACTGTTCTCTCTGCTACCGCACGGCAAGCGGTACCGGAGCACCAAGTCTAGGTCCAAGAGGCTTCTAAACAGCTTCTATCCCCAAGCCATAAGACTCCCGAACATCTAATCAAATGCACCCCCCCCCCCCCCCCCCTACGCTGCTGCTACTCTCTGTTTATTATCTATGCATAGTCACTTTAATAACTCTACCTACATGTACATATTACCTTAATTACCTCGACTAACCAGTGCCCCCGCACCTTGACTCGGTACCGGTACCCCCTGTATATAGCCTCGCTATTGTTATTTTTACTGCTGCTCTTTAATTATTTGTTACTTTTATTTCGTATTATTTTATATTGTATTTTTGGTGTGATATTTTTGGTATTCTTTCTTAAAACTGCATTGTTGGTTAAGGGCTAGTAAGTAAGCATTTCACTGTAAGGTCTACACCTGTTGTATTCGGCGCATGTGACAAATACAATTTGATTTGATTTGATTTATTCATTATTCAAATTCACTCTCTTTTTTATCCAAATGTATACATTTAATCACTTAAAGATGCACTCCAGGATCTTAAACACAACAAATTCGTAACATATAGTACAAATTGAATTCGTAACATACGTAGTACACAATTTGATGATGTAGTACACAAAAAACGGGGACCACTTTTGGCTCGTGAACACCACTTTCAAAACTACTGGCTGAAATGATTACAAAGTTTGAGAGTGCATTTTTAACACATTTTTAGAACATTTCAACTTCCACAGATGCATATCATTGCACTCCATTATTTCCTGAGATACCGGAAACAATGTGATAAGTATCCACTTTTTTATCCACTATTTTCCAGAGCACTTCAAGTACAGGTAGTTGTATTTCAGCATAGAAGTAACATAATGAATATGATATCATCAATTCATGCTATAGGCTTTATGCAAACAAGACTCGTAATACCATACTGTATAGGCCTATACCAGTATGCAGTCTACGATTTTAGTCTGATCCATTTTATCTGCTGCATTGACCTCTCTCACTCTCTTTCTCCCTCTCTCTCTCGCTCTTTCTCCCTCCCTCTCTCCCTGTGTATGTCTGATGCGTTGTCTTCTGTGAGAGTGTGAATCTGCTAAGACAGAGCTAGTCGTTTTTTTTAATTTAATTTTACCTTTATTTAACTAGGCAAGTCAGTTAAGAACAAATTCTTATTTACAATGACGGCCTACACCGGCCAAACCCGGACGACGCTGTGCCAATTGTGCGCCGCCCTATGGGACTCGCAATCGAACCAGGGGGTCTGTAGTGACGCCTCAAGCACTGAGATGCAGTGCCTTAGACCACTGCGCCACTCGGGAGCCCATCAGTGATACACATCAATAGACATATTACTCTGGCTAGATAGAAGGAAAAAGCATCACTCAGGGGAGAAAAGGCTTGCTCAAGGACATGCCTTGGAGCGCTTTCATGTTCATTTGTTCTGGGACATAAAAGCTACCAACGCACTCTCGTCCCACAGTGCGGAGTCGACTGTTAATGATTCAGTCTGTGAAGTTAATTTATTATCTCCTCAAAGTGATGCACAGAGCTGCTTCACTGTGTTTCACTGTATTATGTAAAGCTACAGCAACCAACCAACCAACCAACCAACCTGGCCCCACTCCTGTTGCAATTAATGTCAGTCTGGGTAAGTACATGAAGAGGCGTCAAGCCCATTGAAACTGAGGGGGCATGTTTCTCCTGAATTTCATCCACTTGAAGGATGAAAATACATATACAGGTAACTGCCAAAATAAAGGA